ACTAAGAACTGTAATCAGTTTAATGTTTTATCTTTAAATACAAATTTAACAATTCAATTGGCCATTATGGTGGCCAACTCAATTATGCAGTACAATCCGCACCCACCATATAGAGTTCTCTGGTGGATTATTATTTTTATAAAGTTAACATTTATCATTTGTCATATTCAAAGGTATACTCATTGATTAAATAAATGATTATAATGCACAATTTGACAATTAAAAATTATATTTGAAAAGGCTGCCCCCTCAAAAAAAAAAAAAAACAAACAGATATTTCTATAAAGAATTTACATCCTTGTTTCATTTTTTTTTTTTAAATTTAACACCATAATCTAATTCACTAGGAGTATCATACTAAAACTGGATGAACCATATTAAACAACTTGTGATTTAATGTATTCCATTAAAAGTTTGTATTGATTAATTAAATTGTTAAAAGGCAAATATGATGATTGAAAACCTAAGTACCAAGTTATTAAATTAAAACTTTATTTGATTTTTACAACTTAACGAGGATACCTAATAAAAGCACTGTAAATTATGTATAATTTAAATACAACCTTTGTTAAAAATAAACTTGTGTATAAAATCAATTTTATTTACCTCATATTGTATTGTACGATTTAGCCTAAAGTTTTTAGTTTTGTCTATAACAAACAAAGGTTCATCTTTTTCTTTTGATTCTAAATCACTGGTTTCTGTATAACAATCTTGTCCTGGGCCATCAGAAGGTGCAACACTATCATTATGTTTAGAATGACTATATAGTTCTGAATTATCAAAAAGTCTTGGGCAGTCATGTGGTTCTGTACCACTGTATCCTGGTTCAAGCTCAACATCTCCAAAGCCTTCATTTGTAGTGTATTCACACTCCATGGTCCCATCGTTCACATTCATAATGAATTTTAATCAAATAMCACTATAACAAACACAATGTATCATAATACATAATAATTAAAGTATCAGATAAATCCATTTTCACAGGTATATTAGCTGAGAGCCTTTGTTATAATATTAAATTTTACAAACATAAGACAGTGAACAATATGCAAAATTATCATGCGACAATATACAATAGTATTGACAATGTTTATAAAAATATTGAATCAGTCACAATAGTYTTACAGGTGAAATGGACAAATTAAATATTTAAAAAACCAAACAACCTAGTTAAACAATGATTATTACTAACTATGTTAGGTAATAATTATAAAATTATTGAGGAATAAAAAATGTTTTTTATTTAGGMGTAAGGAAAACACAAGTTATTTTYTTTAAGCTAGGAACGACAAAAGATTTAATTCCTTTTAAACAAATTGAACGTGAACGTAAAATAATTCCCTTTTTAAAGAAATTCTCCAATAACTGAAAGTATATTTATTACATACTCTGCACTAAGTGTGGAATTGATACAGTGTTAAAAATTCTAGATTTCAACATGTAGCTACAAATAATATTGACAAGAAAACATTAATCTTACCACAAATACTTACCATCAAAATAAACACACAGCACTGACTGAACTGGCTGGATTTAATATCCCAAGCAATTGGATTGAGCCGCACAGTTTTAAATATTAGTTATAATATTATTTCTATGATGAATAATTAATTTACACCACGATATACACTGAGATGCAGATCTTAGATCGAAGTATGACTTCAGTGCGACTAAATCGTCATGACATCACGACATCAACAACAGCAATAAGCCAATAACAGTAATAAAATAACACTTCCATGACAAAATAAATKAACACTTCGAATTGGGCAGTGAATCTTAACAATATTATTTTTAACTAAACACAAATTAGAAAACTATACATTTTCAACAAAAATTATCAAACACTGATGGTTGTTTTTTTGAAGTCCGGTTGTTACGCTGCCACAAACGATGAATTAATATTGTGTAGAGATAAGATTCGGAATATTTAATTTCTTTGGCACCCACTTCTTAATGCTATCTAACGGTCAATAATATTAACTAGTTTTATCAAATCGTATATTATCATTTATTAAWTTTTTTAACTTAAGATAAGAATAATATTATTATTTATTAATTAATATATTTTCTTCCATCATCAAATTCATGTCTAAATTCGACCAATTTTTGTCAAATTAGATACAGTGGATATATTATAATCTTGTACTTCAAGTTTCCATTGCATAGATATTAGATTATTAGATAACTTCCAGCAGACGTACACATCCAAATACTGTACGTCATAATATAATTTATAAAAAATATATGTATATACTTATTGTAAGTACCTATATCATATTTTTCAAAATAAATTGAATATTATTCGAGGTTTTCCTTAAAATAAACGAAGTTGTTGAACTTATTTGGCTAATTTCTGATTTTTGACTTCAAAGAAACGATAATGACAACGTCTCTACAGTTTGATTCAAATACTATGAGAGGTATCTAATTAATTATTACCTATGTATCTTACTTTTTTAAGAAAAATATTTAAAATAAATAAAGTTTTAATTGTATTTTTGTTGTAATAAAAACAAATACAAATTAAATATACATTTTTTTTCAAATTGCATGTGAATTTTATAGATTTCATTTATTTCTAAACATTTGCTTTGTTTGAACATAGAATTATAGACATAGTCTATAATAATATAACAGAATTAATATCTAAAAACTTAAGGCAATTTTACACATTTTGAATTGCCTTCAAATAAATAAACCATTTTTAATTATTTATTATGTATAAAATATTTTAAAGGCTAATTAACCACCTATTTTCATATATGAGTTGTTTAGATTAGATGGTATCTATACATACAGTCTATTACAGCAGTCCCCAACTTTTTTTTATTTCAGTACTGCCGACAAATTGTTAAATGTTCATGTAGTGCTTGAAATAAGGGATACATAATATATTATATTGTCTAATATTAATAATAATTCTAATTTATTCTTCAAAATTGTGTACCATTAATTGAGAACCACTTATTCACTATAAACTTTGGAGGGCTCAAAATATTGCATGTACCTAATACTATTGTAAATAAATAAACATTTTAATTTAACTAATACTTTAGATTTAATTTTTTTWATTAAATCTAATATAGATTTATAATTATATTTTTATATCATTTTAATTTCTTTTTAATTGTCTTTATACATCTTAGTTATTTTGGCTGAGATTCTGGAATCTCTTACAACCTGTGAAAATGCRTTGAATTTAGAAGATGCTAAAAGTAAGGCTGGTAATGATATGCTTAAAGTTATGCAGTATGTTTATCCAATAGTTGTCAGCACTCAGATGGATGTAATAAAAAAATATGGACTTCCTGAAGGACGTGAAGGTAAATAACAATAATAATTATGTTCACCATACCTGGCATACCTCTATAATATTATAAACTTAAAACCATTTTTTGAACTAAATAACTGTATAACTAATATGTTATATTCAGGGTGGGCGAGCTGAGCGACTACCCAGGGCTCCGTTATATCATGGGGGCCTTCAGAATTCAAATAATAATTCTTTAATAGTAGTTTTTGAAATTCTATTACTTAACCTGAATTAGAGGGCACATTAATTTTTCTTGCCCAGAGCTCATAGTCCAGCCCTGGTTATGTAACTTTGATTTTAAATTACTCTATTATGGTAGTGCTGTATTACACTAAACATAAGTATAAAATTGTATTCACTATTTGATAATTCTGAAAGTGGAAATTCATGACAAATATTTATGTTTATCACTGTTTATTGATTAAAGTGGGAAATTGATGGCATCTGTACAATTTTTTCAGTTTTAATTTTTCATGCCACCTTTTATTTTATCCAAAGAAACATTCTTCCCTCTTAAAAAGTTATACCAAGAATTATACTTTAAAAATATGTGGATTATTGCAGATATATGTACTAAACTACATACGTATTTTTACTGTTTTATAATTTTTGTTTTTATTCTTAACTATTGATAATTAATACATTTTATTATGATACTATTTATTATTTAATTTTCATATAATTATTTCAAATTTATAGTATTTTGTTTCATAATATGTAATTAATAATTGAAAAAATTGTTGTATTTCTATTTCTAATTTTTTTTTTTGTAGTAGTAGTAGTAGTAGTAGTAGTAGTAGTAGTAGTAGTAGAAAGTTCCTATAATTTGTTTTATCATTATAGAAAAATTAAACTAGGGTTGTAATGATTATTATTGTATTACCTATTATAATATTATGTACATTTTAATTTGACCACCTCCAAACAACTTATATAAATATTTATTTTGTTTCTGTTTATTTTAGAAACATAATGGTCATTACACCTATTTACACACACCTACCCCTACCCTTAACCTATACTTAAAGTTAACAAAACAAATTTTAATATTAATCAAAATGTTTAGCCATTCCTCACTTATTTTGAGCCACATCAACGGCTCATCGCTTAAACTAAATTTCAATAAATAAAGTAGATTGATATACTGGATAGTTTAAAACAAACAAAATATTTTATTTTATTCTTAATATGATTCTTTGTATTTTATTTACTATTTTTATTTATAATATACATTATTATGTTCATCTTAAATATTAAAAATAAATAAAATTTATTTTCTTCTAGGAATAATAAAGTTTACCAGAAGTGTAGTTGCACTTGAAAAAGATGATAGAGTAGTAGCTGATCTTCACCGCCAGATACGATCATTTTATTTACCACCAGTCAATGTTTCAAGTGCTGTGACTTCGCATGTGTAGAATAATTATTTATTTAAAAAAAAAACTCTTTGCGAATGTTAAAATATTTGAAAACTTTTAATAACTTAATTTTTCTCTTTTATTAATAACTTAAATTTATGATTAAATTGTTATATAATTTTTYACTAGGTTTACATTTCTAAATTAAGTATTAGAATTTACTAATAAAAGAATAAATATTATAACCATTAAAATGTATTACACAACTAGTTGTATTATACAACTTAAAGATAACATATTAATTTATTTKGTTTTTTTTTGTGTGTTGTTTTATTTTAAATTTTAATTACCTTCATAGATTATTTATTATATGTAATGAAAATTTGTATTTTTTATACTATTTACAAATAATATATATATGAAATATTTTTGATACCTATACTATCTTGTTTTTCTCTCGGGTAAAATATTGATGTGTTGCAATAGTATATTGTTAATCAATGACAAATCATCAAGTTTTTTGATGAAACCATATTTTTTAATATTTTGATAATTGAGTATTTGCATGTAGTTTTTTTTTACATATGGTAAAACTTTATTGTAGTTAAAAATATTAAAACATTTCATAACTGAGTTATACAAAAAATAAATGTGTTAGTATTTAATAATAAATAATAGGGAACCTTCGAAATAACTACAAATCAAAACTATATTTTTTCTATTTTTAAAATGTTATACACATTTCTAAATCTGAAATMTTAACAGGCAATATTATATAATTAATTTTTATATATTTTATATATTATAATATGTTACTAACATACTAGTTATTACTATGGTTTATATTTAAATTCATAATATTTTAAGTATGATATAACTGATAAAGAAAGTTTAAGATTTAAATAATTACATTCAGAGGTTAAAGTGGGAAAAAATTCCAGAGGGGACTAATGTCTCCATATAGTTTTATGCATTCCATATAAAATTTTATGTATAATGTCTAATGTATAAAATCCTAATTTGTTAAAGGGGACGCTTTTTAACTGCCGTCAGAGGTAAGGGGACTGAGTTCTCCTGCGTCCCCCCACTTTAACCCCTGATTACATTACAACAATAKTATTGTACATATTACGCTAATTTACAAATTTCATTAAGTACCTATAGGCTATATTGCTCCTCTGTAATACTACTAATACTGTATAAATGTATATTATTGACTATTGTAGTAATATGATCATATTTTAAAAAKAAAATAAGATACCTGCTAATTCTAAATGACTATGAAACTTCCATGCAAGTGTATGGGGGGAAATATGTTTTAGCAATTACGTACCTAATTAAAATAGGTCTGACTAGCAAAGCAATATGTGCGTTGATCAATATAAGTACTATGATCATATGTGTTAAGGTGACACTAAAATGATAAAAATGTTGCTATTTAACAGCATCACACGTGCAGTCAGTAGTGCAGGAACTAGTATAGATATTAGATATAATAAATAAAATATATTTTATATTTCAGCGCTCTGGTAGCTAMTGCAGTTGTCATGAAACTCGGCAAGACCGATACGACTGTAGCATAGGCTAAGTGATGTGTTTACTTTTTATATTTGAGTATTTGAATATTACTACAATCATTTGTCGTAGGTACCTTCATTACGACTTTATATGACCATGKTAAATTATCATAATTTGCATTTGTACTGAGCAACTGAGGTCGTAAAACGATACCTAAACGTATGCCTTCGTATTATTATATCTTAACATAAGTCATAAGTTAATAAACTATAAAATTGGTCACACGTGTAATAGTTATTACTTATTAGATAGTATTATAATTAGCTTAGGCTATATGAGTGTTAGTTTTAGTCCGTAGGTTTAAGAACGTAGGTACCATCCAATCACTAATCAGTAATTATAGTGACAATGCCACAATACAATAGAATAACATTACCTATATAAATATAATATTGTTACACACTGGGACGGCGCGAGGGGGGGGGGCAATCGGGGCAGTTGCCCCGGGCCCGCGATTTTAAAATTATAATCAAGGCCCCGCGTTCTTAAATGATATTTTATACTGTTCAGAGATTAGTTAGTTTGGATAATATATAATGTGACTGTTATTTATTTTGCCCGGGGCCCCGCAAATCCTAGCGTCGTTCCTGGTTACACCTACATAGATAAAAGATATATATATATGTATATGTATATATATGTGTATATTATATACCATTAATTGCAGAATAGTTAATAGTATCATATTTGAGTCTGTGTGTTGGCATACGTCATAATAATAGGTAACAGTATACGTTTGGTATCTGTGTCACGGTTTTGCTCATGTGTACGGTACGTCGGTACCTACATCATGTTATTATTATTTACACCATTAATTGAAACGGAAATTTTTCGATGAAGGTCGTCGCAACGTACACGTCTGTTGCAGTTTATAGTGTTTATACAGAGTGTTTCTTTTAACAGAAATAAGTAAACACTCATCATATCGAAAAATATTATCGTTTTTGGAAATATTTTTTCAGATAACAAAGAAACTAAATAATAAAATATTATATAAGCGYAACTAGGGAGTTGAGACTTAGCCCCCAGCGGCCCTGTCCAACTACTCATAGTCACATATAAAAAAATAATAGTCTTCGAAACCATGTAATATAAATTCAAAATAATGAATTAACAAAAATACAAAAATATTGCTCAAAAAAAGTAGGTAGGTAGTATAGGTATGTAGGTACCTACAAAACATGCAACTACATATTCACTGCTAAKGTCAATTATAYCATCGCGCAATGGGCATAAATACAAAGACATAAAATGGRTATTTTGTAATTTTTACTTGTTTATTGTTTAATGAAGTTTTATTGAGTGTATTTATTAATATGTATATTATGTAGACTTGCAATTTATAAGTACCTATGTTGTTAAACGAAATTCGTTTATAAATTATAAGTATACCTAACATACCTAATAAAATGTTCAAAAACAGTGTTCTKCTCAGAAATATATAATTAAAAGTGTCTATTAAATAAGTACCATCATCCTATAAAATAATAACATTTAAAACGGAATAAAAAATATGATATCAAAAAAACTTTTATATAAATGTATTACATTTTCAAAAAATTGTTAAGTAATGAACTATATTGACTTAAAAAAACAAATTATTAAAAAAAAATATTACTTCCAAAACGATAATACCTATATAAAATAAAACTTTTTAAATAATCGTTATGTATGATGTACTTATAAATGAATATAAAATGTACCAATAAATTAAATTTTAATTATTAAAATATTAAAACGTTCTTGTTATTATTACACAATGTAATACGTATGTTTTCCGTGATAATATAGTTACACATACTACCACAGTTGCCTGTAATACATTATACAGTATTAATCAATCTACTAGACTACTATCTGTACTCTGTAGCATGTAGATAATATTACTCTTACTTTTATGCGAATGTGTAGTGTATACACTGTACACTTGCATGTTACATATATTTAAATTAATATACGTTCAACTACTATCTAACTATACTAGCTATAATTGATTGTTATATATAGGTTATACTTATACATATACTAAGTTATTAAGTATAATAAGTTACATGGTAATATATATGTATATAATATAACCTTATTTAGGTACTAGGTGTACAATGTTATATATTTATATAGATGCGAGATAGTGGCGCGTTGGCCGTATATCATTTGCGCATCATCTGTTTACCTGTCCAAAAATATCGCACATCATTTGCGCATCATCGATAGATAATCGTTTGCGCATTGTCTATTTACCTGCTCTAAATTATCGTACATCAAATGAGCATCAATATTCTGAACAATAAAAGGGTATAAAAAATGGTATTACATATATTATGATGTATAACAATTAATATTATATACAGGGTGATTCTTTTATCAAACAACACTCATTATTTCAAAAACTATTGACTTTTCAATTTTTTTTTTTCAAAATTGTAGATCCATCCTGTTCTAGAATTATATATTTTTTAAATATTTTCTCCCTTATATTTATCAGGTAAACCATTATCAACTTTTGATTTTTAAATGACAACCTATACTTAAAATTTCATAAACTAAAAAGGCTATTTTTTCAATGAATTTTCACGTTTAAATTTTCATTTTTCGTTAATCCGTTTACAAGATATAGCCTCCAAAGTTGGGTGGTTTTGGGTGGTGTTTGTGTGTTATAGGTGTATGTTAGGTGGTATTTACATACAAACGCCATATAAGTGTTGTTTGATAAAAGAATCATCCTGTATAGAGAATAATTTAAGATTTTTAAACTTAGAAATAATAAACACACATAAGTTCGACAATATTAATCAAAAATCGAAAATTTAATTCTAAAACATTACATTTATACCTACTTGGTATCACAATTATATCTATACAATATTTGAAAATGTAATACTATTATTATTATATACGAATATTATTAAGAGATTTTAAGACCAAATAGTTAGAAAACAACTTGCGCTTTGGGTGTACTCCTTTTTTAAATTTATATTGTTAAATAATAATGATGCGCAAATGATGTAGGACCTTTTAAACGGTCAATGCGCAAACGAAGTATAACTCAAAAATCGAACGATGCGTAATGGTACGTCTAACAAAAAAGGTCAAAATTAACTATAGTGATGCGCAAACGACAACCAGCGGATGCGTATATAGGTATGATGGTAGTGAAATAGGCTAATATAGCGAATAATTTAATAAATAATATACCATATTATATTTTATATTTTAATATGTGCTTAAGTATACGGTTGTACACTGATTAAAAAAATAAAACATTGTTATGGGATATAAAGTTTACTGATTAGACTCTCACACACTTTACTATATAATGTTCATTTATTTTTCACAACAAATTATCACAGCGTCAATAAAATCAATAATTTAACTATATATTTTTCTTCTTAAACCATGCAAATTATTTTCTATATAAAAATAATGTCGAATACCAAAAATATATTAGACATCAGTTTTCAATTTTAATATTTTATATAGTTCATCTGGACATTTTGTATGAATAATAATAATAACAATGATAAGTTATATGAAAAAAAATTATTTATACTCGATTAATTTTTTATTAATTACTTACTATTTAGAAAGTTCGGTAATTTCGATAATAGGTTAGGTTATATGATACCTCTGTATCAATATAAATTTGTATATAGATTATAGGTACTCGTATATGCAATATCAATACCTACCTAATTTTAATT